TCTGTTTATGGGGATCTAATAGCCTGCCCCGGTTTTATTGTGATTCCTAGCTTGGTTACGTATCCAACTAGGAACTTCTCCAAAAGATAAGCCATCCAGCTCAGCACATGACATTTCTATGAGGTTTACTCTGTGGGATTATTTCTCCTCCTAAGGATTAAGATGGTGCTGGTGCCTAGCTTTGAAGGAATACTAAATAAAATTTAAATTATCTCGATAATGGGACCCCCTGATCCAGCTGGTGTCATTCAGGAAGCCTTGTCTATCATGGCCCCAAGCAAATACCGGACACTGTCTTGTGTCACACTTGTTTTTGCTTTTGGAAGGATGTCTGAGTTGCATTTTAGGATATTGTTGCATTGTTTGAGTGATATAATAAGAGGATACCTTAGGATAGGGTCTTAGTTGTAAAATATCTTTCTATTATGTCCTAAACTGTTTTCTTTTGGCATGTCTAAGTTAAATATTATGTTTAAATGACATTAAGCGACAATTGGTTTTAATGAAAATTACGTTTCAATATCACCAGTCTTTTCATCGATGTGCCATTGGAAAATTAATAAGAGCCAAATTAGAGAGGGATGATACACTGAAAACAAAACCAAACTGGATATATCAACTATCACGGAGCTACTACCACTTTGCTAACAATACTTATTTTTAACTTACAGAATACAAAATTTCGGACTAGCCATGGGTTCATCATTATCTCCATTATTAGCAGATATATTCAGGGAAGATTTCGAACAAAACATTGTACACAAAAACGATAAACAAGCCACAATATGGTAGAGATTTATGTAGATTATGTTCTCTATTTGGCCTCACGGAACAAAGCATTGAATAAATTTCTGATGGACATCAACAATAAAGAAGAATCAGTCAAATTCACCATATTTATTATATAGACAAGAAAACAATAATTCACTGTTTTTTTGGATGTGTTAATTACAAAAGAGGACACAGGTTTTGCCAAAGTTTACGGAAAACTAACCTTCACCAACAGATATTTAAATTACCAATAAAATCACAAGAAATCAAAATTAAGTGATCAAATCATTATATTAAGACAGAGTCCGAAACACCTAATCCAATGAAAATGCATTTCAGGAGGAAAAAAGCCTGCAAAAAAGGTTTTGACAAAAATGACAACCTATTGTCATTTATAAACAAGGAATTTCACAATATTGAAGAAAGGAAACCAAAAACAATACAAACAATCTATAAACACCCTGAAAAATGAAAAAGGATAGGAAATACGTACATCACAATAACATTCATATCAACCAACACACAGATCTATCCTGTCCAAAACGAGTTTGGTTTTCACGCAAAACACGCAAGAAAGATCAAAGTCTGCATCTATAAAAATAACCTTTGAATGTAACCATTTCTATGTGGGAGAAACCGCAAGGATCATTAAGCGTCAGGTATAAACGAGTATGAAACATACATCAAGAACAGAGACTTCGAAAAATCTTAGGTATGCAACATTTCTGGGATAACGAGCACATAGTATAATGGAAAGATGCATCAATATTCATGAAAGAAATATAAATGAAAGAGAGAAAAGTCAAAGAAGCAGTTCTCACCAAAAAAAAAAAATATTTAGCATACCAATCAGCAGAATGTAGCAGACTTAACAATACAACTTAGCAACACACAACACACAGACATATAATCTACGTACACACTTATTACTCCCACAAATAATACAAAAAAACCCACAAAACAGAAACAATTTGATATTTCGAGGGTAAAAACACCACCCACCGATTTTTTTTAACCAAAAGCTGGCTAAACTACAAAATCGAGGCCAAATAAGTCAAAATCGATATATAATCGATATAAGAATCAAAATAGAAATCGATACGTCAAACGGTTAAAAATGTAAATTTTCATTACAATCAACAACTGTGGTTTCATCCCATATAAACATAATATTTACCGTTCTATTATAATCATTATAGTAAATAATATTAGAATGCCACAAGAAAATAACTTCCCAATAATATTGGAACACCTAACAGTTGTAAATAACAACAATATAATCTTATATTTATTTAGATCATTGTTTATATACAAGTTAAAAGTTTATACCAGCACTATTTTATGATTAATTACCGAATTGATACCATAAAACACTTACTCAGAGTGCTGTATCATTAAAACTCATGTTACATCGTAAAAAATGTAAGTCATTATCCTTTGAAGTTTTACAATACACATTCGGTTTCCGGATATCGATATTACACATCATCAATTACTTTTTGACTACCATTAAAATGTAAGTGACGAATTAGCCCAGATCTAGTATCATACACAAAACAGAAATTAAATACGCTGACTTGCAAAATTTGCCCCTTGCACCACTAAAACAAAAATCTCCATCATTTCTTCCTAGGGGTATTAACTTATATACATGACGTTGCGATTTTTTATTGCTTCTACTCTACAACAATGCTTTAGTGAATCGACTTAATTTTCAAAAAAAATGCAAAAAATAGGGGAATCGTAAAATCGCATCGTTAACTTAATGATCTTGTTATGCCTGTTGTTCTCTTTATGTTTCCTTCCTTTATTCAATACAGTAGGTCGCAAAAATAAAGTGATATACGTAATATCATTTTGTTGTTATTAGGCAAGTTAAAGTAAACAAAAATTGATAACAGTTTAGTACACAAAGATTAAAAGTGTGATAAAAAGGGCAAAAAAAATTATATGATAGATAGATTAAAAAAAATCGTACCGAAAATGGAGCGAAAAAATAAAGTCGTTTTAAATCTGAATACTTTGACAGCTTTGATATTTGACAATTGACTTATTTGGCGTCGAAATTCTTGGTTTCGAATAAAGTAGTAATAGAAAAAGTAAAAAAAAATAAGTAGCATTAAAAGTTGGGATAAAAATCAAAAAGATAAGGAAAAAAGAAAACTCGCAAGATAGAGTATAAAATTAATAAGAGAAAACCCTAGATCACAGATCAGAAACAAATAAGATACAAACAGTTAGACAGAGATATCGACGAAAACTGTAAAAATTGGAACAACTTAAAACATAGCACAAGGACAGACAGATTAAATAATTGGCAGAAACAAATTAAAACAACGAAATAGAAGACTATTAAGGAAAAAAAGGTGATTTGGGATAGATATCTTGCAAATCTTTTGCAAGATGATAGACCAATAAAATATCATATCGTAAAGTAAATATGACTAAAGTTTTCTCCACACGGAGGATTTGCTTATATCAACACGAATAGACCTGCAGAAAAAAATCAAAGATATATTGGTATAATAGAGAATGTGTTCGTACTCGTACGAACGAGTCAGAAAATTGAAACTATATTAATATACTCAGTGCATTAGGAGTGTTACAACCAGAAGGCATAATTTCTTGAACTCAATTTTTTCGCAACATTGTAGATTTATATCAAGAATGAAACGATAAAGTTGTCAAGAATTTTTATTAACAAGCAACCAAAAAAAAATTAATAATTTGTATGGCGACCCCGTAGCTTAATACACTCCTGTATACGTCTAGGCATTGACAAAATGAGATGATCGATGTCTGCTTGTGGCATCTCGTTCCAAGCAACTTGAACTTCATGCATTAACTGTGCCAGAGTCCATGGAGGATGGTGCAAAGTGGACAATCACCTTCCCATTATATCCCATACATGTTCGATAGGATTTAAATCCGGAGCACAAGGCGGCCACGACAAAACATTAACGTCAGCTTCTTGGAGAAAGTCCTTAGTTAGACGAGCAATATTGGAACGCACGTTGTCTTGCTGAGAAGGGACGTCTCGACAGCCGTCGAAATAAGGCTGTAAAGTGGTTTGTAAGATGTTATCAATATAACGCTCAGCTGTCATATTGCCTCGAATAAACACAAGTGGTGATCAGCTACCATAGGCAATAGCCCCCAAATCATTACTCCAATTGTCCTGTGTACATGCCTCTCAACATCAAACCTGATATCTCGTCGCTCTCCACGGCGGCGTCTTACCATCCTACGACTATCATGCATTCCTAAACAGAATCTTGATTCATCGCTGAATGCTACATTATGCCATTCTGCCACCCAATGCTGCCCTTGTCTGCACCAATTCAAACGTCAATGACATTGGTCCACAGTCAAAGGAAGTACTAGTCGTGGGCGGAATGAAAGCAGTCCAAAGGCTCGAATGCGACAGTATAGTGTACACATACTGACCGGTCTACCTACTACTCCCAACCATTGGTCAGCAATTTGACTTCGTTTGTCCATACACGACAGATAAGCACAACCGTCATAGTCTTACAATTAACACGTCGGCCAATTTCGCAATTCGACAAAGTCATACCTCTATACGCAATAATTCTACCCCTATCAAAATCGCTAACATGGTAGTAATTTTGGTGTCTTTAAACTCGAGGCATTTTCTTACATTGAATACAATTAGACTGAGGAATAATAATTAAACATTTCCATACGAACCAATTTTCAGAAATTCTTCTTTTCACAAAAAAAATTTAGAGATAAAACTTTATTTTTACAAAAAGTCGAAAAGATAAAACATTGGTAGGTAGTGCTATCGTAGTATGTTTTAAATATAGTAAGCTGTTGCCAAAAAATTTAGTTCAAGAAATTATTCCTTTTGGGTGTAACACTTCTAATGTCACTGAGTATATAAACAGGGAAGTTAGGCAGGTATGTTGTACCTCAGAAAACTATAATACAAGTAAAATACACAGGAAGTAGAGACTAACAGAAGATTTGGACACCAAAATTAACGAAATAAGTCATGTACCATTATAGTATCATTAGTATATACGTGAAATTGTTTGTTTTTATTTTAAAATGATGTTAAAATATATCTATGCTTGGATCTATTGCCAAAAGTCTTGCATTGCAATTTTTTTTGTATCTGTTTCTCTTTGGGTTTGTTTTGGGACTTTTAAAGTAAAGTGTTTTGGTACTAATTATTATTAATAATTATATCTTTTCTGTTACAGGCGGCAATCCTCCAACAAACGGCTGAATATATCTACTCATTGGAGCAGGAGAAGACCAGACTTTTGTCACAAAATTGTCAGCTGAAACGGCTAGTGAACCAACACGAAGGCGGCGAGCTGCCACCCAAGAAGAGAAAGACTGAATTGATAATTCCCACCATTACGGCAGAATCATCAGACGAGGGCATAGGTATGATATATTTTAATATTCTACTGAAAACTCTTTTATCCAAAGTTTAGCTATCTTAACAATTTTTATTCCAATAACTGTAAGATATTGATTTTTTCACTGTATGCGATTAGCTCATCTATTACCTCGTCATTAAATACAGATTTCTTTAAACAATTTTTTGCCTTCATTACAAAAAAAAAAAGAAAATATATGAAAGAGAATGTTAAGAAAAAATAGTCTGGATTTCATCATCAACGTCAGTGTGTAGCGTCCACTGCTGACTTAGGCCTTCCTCAATTGTCTGCGATGCTTCCAATCTTCTTATTCTACTCTGGTTTTTCTTCTGCGCAAAAAAATATTCAAATCTGTAATGGTGCGCAGGGCATTACAAATGCGCTGTGCATCACAAATTGGATTATGAGAATAGCAACTGGAGACAAATTACAGAAATTAAAACAGGTAACCTCACTATGTCATCATACCTCAAAGTAACAGAAGGAAAACTACTTATAAGAAATTGTTTAGGATTAAACTTGAGAGGTCGCTGGTTAAATTATATCAGATAAATAATTATAACGAAAAATGCAATATTGGTTGGTACATAAAATTAGCGAAAATAGCAACTATAAATTATGAATAAGTTATGAAATCAACTGGTTTACTCATTATCAATGTTTTGTACAAAGAATTATAAGGCTTACCCCTTGGTTCTACTGATGAGTTCGTACCAGGCTGAAGAGTTGGTCGGTGGTACCGACGCTAGCGTCGCCGTCGCCCGAGGCTCAGCACGAGGACCGTCCGGAACTAGATGCGTGTCGACCGATCGTTGTCTGACGAAGGAGTGTTTTTTAGATCGTTTCTAGGGTACAAACCAGCCTCTAACTGTGGGGTGGTCAACAGCTCGTAGACCGGGCATGCCATAAATCAACCATTTGTTTCAATCTTTCTGACATAGAATACAAAGAAAAAAGCATAATTCTGCATACTTTAACATGATAAATGAGAGCCAGTTTAAGTTTTACGAACTCACAGGAAATAATATATTTTAAAAAGATCTTTGAAATACAGCACCTAAATTAGGTCACATTACAGTAGCGTAACAGAAAAAATATTAACTATAAAATTATGAAATGAACTCGCACATACTTTCCCAGTGTCTAAAGACTAGAACAGGTAAAAAAGTTACCATTTATTCTGCAAAGTACTCATCAGGCCAGACTGATTTGACATTGACGCATAAGGTAATTTTATAAAAGATTTTTGGTAATAAAAAGTAACGGCATCATTTTTCGGCCATTTTATTTGTTTTCTTTAATATTTTGTCAAACTTTGACGATACGTTTTCCAAATTATGAAATTTTTGCTTTGTTGTTTTTTGAATTTGTTTTTCAAACAATTTTGCGTCTCCCACGCTTCCTATTTCGTGTATGCGTTTTTTAAATTTATACTCCATTGGGGTTTTCCTGCAGTTGGTCTAACCCTGAATTGCTTCATTTTGACTGTATATCTTCAATCTTGTCGAATCTTTCAACTTATATAAGACCTCGAACAGTTTGGTCGAATCGATAAAATACATACCTAATTTTTTATGCTTTAGGTTCAATGTCACCGGAACTCATCGTAGTTAACCAACCTGATAACACAGCGGAGCTAAAGCAACAATTAGAGCAGGAACGCAGCCTGCGGTTGTTATTAGAAGACCAAGTGCGGCAGCTGGAAGAACAACTCTTTCAACAGCCGCGTCAACCGCAACCGCAATTTTTGGAAATCGAAGACACTGATGCCGTTGGTATGCAACTGATAGCGGCGGAGAGTTTACCTATCGGTCACACACAGACAGTTGTATGTAGTGCGTCGCCTGCCAATTCCAGAAGTTCCAGTCCTATTCCCGTGATGCCAGAACAACAGAGGTTACCGTCGGTGTTGGAAGCGGCGATTAAAGCTGAACCTAAGGTAAGACACTTTTTACGCATTTATTTTCCTCAGTTATATGTGTAAACAGTATAACAGATAAAAACGTGTAGATGTAAATAATTAGCTGATTACCGACTAAGTAGCCTTGTCACATATGTTTTAGATCTTCCGAATAATATATAGCTAAATCAGACATAGCTACAAACAAAATTTAGACGACCTTCAGAAAAGCTTTTGGAATGCGCAAAACTCTATTTATTATGAATATGCTCCTGCAGAAATACCAATCGCCGCAGCACCTTTGACAGCTTCATTTGCAGCAGTTTCAGATGAACAATTCCAAACTATGGCTTTTAAACCCCGAAAATATTGTACCATTCATGTGGTGGTTGCTTTCATAAACAAATAGTTTATTATCAAAGGCTAAGAAAATTTCAATTTGTTTCAGGTCGAAGTCGAAAGACTGCCGTCGCCGAACACTTCAACGCATGAAGATAACAGCCGAGTGTACAACATCTCGAACACTTCCAGGCAGAACCTCGAGACAATCGTCGAGGCCATCAGACACCTCGAAGGCAGTCATATGTTCGACGATGAACAAGATGTTCCACTTGCACTTACCACTAGATCTGCGGATATCAAGCCAGACGTTCACGCGGTAAGTAGACGTATTTAGTTTTGCGAATAAGTAAATATAATACCAACTTTGTAAACATTTTCAATATTTGTTTGTGTTTTTGGGCTACTGTTTATAAAGCAGTGTAATACTTTCTGCGGCGTATAAGTGGCTTTTCTTATTCTGATTATTCTCAATAGCTGTTTCTCTGTATTTGATGTGCATAGGACTGCTACAATTGTTCTTCTCCCTGTGGCCCAGGGTGTAGCGTCATTTTGAATACTCCCTCATTTTGAATACATCTAACTTATTCAATTGTTTGCTTGGAGTCCATACAGTAAAACTGACTGATGTCTATCATAAAATAGACCGCTTACTTTAAAGAAGCTGTCTCTACATTGGGCAATTTTCGTTTTAATTTCTCATACAGTATTTTAAATTCTCAAAAGTAATCATACAAAAACGTGTGAAAAAGTTCAGGAATGTTCTACCATTACAGATCCGTATTAAGCTACCTAATAGTGATTTCGCTTTTTTATGCATAAAATCTACACCTTGCTCTATCTGCCTAAGCCTGATTTGGTTTGAATTTGTAATCGTCAAATATATTTTGATCATGCTTAGAAAGAACTTTGATTGTTTTATTCTTTGCCAGTTTTTTCTCTTCTTGTTTTTTTTGGATCCACCTTTTTCTAGTTTTATAATATTTTCCTATTAATAATTCCACAATATTGTTCAGTTATTACAATCTCGAGATATATCTTAATATTGATTGTTGCCAGTAATTAATAGAGTTCTGCGTAGTTCGTATTATAATTAAATGTTAATTAAAGTAATCATAATTTTGTTTCAGGCCTACCTTGAGTTCAACGCTACGACAGTTCAGCAATACCAACAATCCAGGCCGGGAGTGATTGTCGTGAAACAAGCGTCGTGATCGAAAATCATTCACTTTGCCAGTCTGCCATCTAGCGGACAGGTGAGGAGACAGGACTAAAAAGTGACGGCTCCGGGCTCTTAGGTTACGTAGAGTCCGCCATCTCGATTATGTTAATCCAAATATAGCAAAAAAAATGTTAACGACAACGTTGAGCGCCATTTTTTATTTAAAATATATAAAAATGGGCTGGCCTTTCATGTGAATGTTCTTTTCTCTCTAATTTATTTTGTTCGTCCCTGTTAGATTTAAGAGCCGGTGAAATTTTTGTTACATCATTATGCAACTGTTAATTTATTTCTAATTTTTACTTTTTTTTTTATTTTTAAGATCGTTTTTGTAAACACTAGATCTCGGAAGATAAATGTGAGAGGTACAAATAAAATGATTTTAATAGAAACTAAAGATTTTAAAAATCGCGTTTTTATTGACCTAATTGTTCTAATTCAGCTTTTCCGAGGTTTGATGTAATCTTCAGTAGAAAAATGTTAGAAGAATGAAGTAACTAAAACGTTCACTAGCTCATATGCTATTGTTAACCCCATCTAAATTTGAAATTTCGTAATTTTTGAGCTACATAATTTATATAAAAAAATTATTGGCTATTAAAGATGGAAGGAAATGTTTTAGCTAAAAAATACATGTTTTGGCCGTCTGAAAGTTTTATTATAAAGTAAACGATTTTCTTTTGTTGGTAAAAAATACCGGTCTCGAAATAAAATATAATTTGGCACTAAATAGTTGATAAGTGGTTTGATGTGAAAAAAACCTATTAGTATTTAATATTTTTTACTAACAACGGCAAATTACGTTTCATATGATTAATTTCTTACAAAAGAAAAAGTAAAGTAACCGATCATTCGAATAAAATTGTTTTTTGGGGGGTTGTTGGGTTGTACAGTTAAATTGCTTTATTTTTTCCCAAAATATGTAATATTTTACGTAAATAGCTATTGACACTTCGATTCTATCTTGATGTTTGTTTGTTAAAAACAGTACCATCATACAAAATAATGATTGATTTACTTTGATCCTTTTTTATAAAATTTGTAAATTAAATAGTAACTAAAAAAAGATTAAATCCATAAAATGTAGGTCAAATAAAAATAACTATATTGTAATTTTGAAATTGTAGGTACTAAATTCTCAGAAATGTAATTGAATTAACGGCACGTACTCATGTACGTGCAACCGAATGATCCTATAATAACGGGCGTGTTGTATTTGTTAATGTATCTAATAAAATATATTCATAATATCAATATTTGTTGGAAAACCCTAAAAACATGGAAATATTCTATCTCTAAATCATGTAGGACAACGTTGTATACATCGTTGTTCTGTTAACAGGTAGTAAAGAACTAAAGAACCTTACCATAGTAAAGATAGATATATTACTTAACATTCAGGAGCATATCGGGCGAATTTTACAATTTGAAAATTTATTTATAATAAAATTGGTACCACTTTTTGAGATGGTGCACCTGCATATTCATATTCGGCGAAAAATTTTACTCAAGACAGAATAGTTTTCTACTATCCACCCTTCAATGCATACAGAAAGGTACCCTGCTGCCTGACTAGTAAAGCGATTCATTGTGCGGTTGTTGAGTGGAGTTAAAAATAATTGTACTCTTCTTGTTTTCAAATTGTTTAACCAGGACATGCGTCTTTTTCTACGACTTCCTCTACCTGTATTCATGATATCCCAGATATTGTGATTTTCCAATTTTCTTAATATTTAGAACGTCCTTCTCTTTTCTCATTCTTCTGAACACGACATTCGTGAATATCCATCCAACTTTATTCGTAACATTCTTCTATAGGTCCATAATTCGAAGGCTTGGGATCTGTATGAACCGTTTTTTTTGTCCGAACTTCCAACCCATCAAATAATACTGAGAACACAGAGCGTCTCAATTTAAGTTGTCTTATTACAAATTTTAGTATTTTTTATAAAGACAAGACGCTGCAAGTAATAAAAGAAGACCAAAACATGGAGTCTGCTAAACTCTGTAGAAGTAGAACACACTTTTTCAAGAAATATTTCATTTTAGAATTATGATCATATTCGTTTTGTAATTTTTAATTGAAACTGTTTGTATGGAATTAATATTTTGAATATACGCGACTCTAAAAAAGGCAATCTCGACTGTTATGCCTCCACTATTACATAAGAAGTGTAAATTACGGTGTATATCTTGTTGAATTGTGATAATTGCTAGATAAATACTGTTTATTTAAAGGCGATAAAATCAAACACAAATTTAAAAAATCACCGTTATTGTATATCAAATTGTCAAAATATAAGAAATATAGTTAACATAGGAGTTTAATAGATTTCTTGGTCCTTGGTATCTGATCAGAACAATGTTGGATTATTGTACGGCTCTAACAACTATATACAGTGAAACCTCGATTATCCGTCAGGGTACCGGACCAAGGGTAAGATGGATAATCGAAAAGACGGTTAACAGAATATTAAAAAAAAATCATAGTATATCTCAAATTTTATTTGTATGTTTTATTTGACAATATAAGAGGGATTTATTATGGTACAGTCAAATCAATTTGATTTAAAATATTCCGAAATCTTTGTTTGTTTTATTGTTACTTCACATTTTGCAAGCGCTGAATTTCTTAACCGACGTAAAATCCTCAAATGTACCTTATTTACTTCTTCTTGCCGCGAATACCACTCGATAAATTGTTGTATGTGCCATGCAGCTTCTCTAGCTTCTTTACTCAAATCTTTGTGAGCTGCAATAGCATCATCAACATCGCCACCGTCAAAGTCTGTCAGCTTCTGAATCAGTTTCGTCTACCTCTGTTGCCACTTCAAAGATTTCATCATCTGTCAGCAATCGATAGCCGTTTGCGTCCTTACCACAAATTAATCATTCATTTATGTCATCTTTAGGCAACGAAAACAATCATCTTGAGTTGATTCAGGCCATAATTTATTCTACGCTCTTTTCAGCGTTACTTCCAAAACCCGAAGCATCCACAGTATTGTCGACTGCGTGTTTTAAATTGTATGCTTTCCAGTATTCTGGCAAAGAATATTCCTCTCCCATAACTAGGTTTTGAATAAATTTTTTTCTGTATCTTTTTTTGATGTTTCAATGGCCGATTGATCCATTGACTGTATCAATGATGTTGTATTCGCAGGCAGAAAAGAGCACGTGATATTTCCATTGTCGCTTCGCAGCATACCGACTTCAGGATGGCCAAGTGCATTGTCCAAAATGAGAATCGCCTTTGGTGGCAAATTTTTTGCTTGCCAGTATTGTCGAACGTCCGGTATAAAAACCTAAAACAAGACGTTAGAAAAATAAATAACCAAAGTTTGGTTTGCAGTACATACCTTTTTGAACCAGTCAGCGAATATTTCCTTGGACATCCATGCATTATGTTGTGCGTAGTAGTTAACGGAAAGCGCGTTCATATTTATGCCATTAAAACAACAATGGCATCCATGGTACAACAATGGTACCAATTAATAATAAAGGAAGGCGATGGTCACCACTTGCATTTGAACACATTATTACTGTGATTCGTTACTTTTGCGTTTTAAATCCGGGTGCATATTTTGCAGACAGTATAGCGAGTGTTTTCCTTAGCAATGCTTTGTAGTTTAAACCAGTTTCATCCGCATTGAACACTTGATCGCTTGTCAAACTATATTCATCGATCATAGCTTGAAATTGAAAGTTGATAAAAACGCTTTTTCGGCAACAATTGGTCCAGACAAAGGAATACCTTCGCTTCTTTTTTGAACGAACCACAAATACAGAGCCATGTCGAGTGATTCATTTGTGGCTTTTTTCATTGTCTTACAATGTTTCACCCGGCCATCCAACCATTCCATTTGCGAAGCATACTTTTCAATTCCTTCAGCATTTTTCTTTAAATCGTTGATTGTTGTTCTCGGAATATCATACTTTTTGATCAATACGACAACAGAAACACATTTCTTTAGTTCTGCAATATTTTCTATTTTTTTTTCAGTTTACAAAACAACACGTGTCCTTTTTGATGCTCCATATGTGGAAAGCTCCATTTTTCAAAACTTAATTGATCAAACGACTTGGTGAATTTTAATCAAACTGAATTATGGTGACACATAGATATTGACTGTAATAATTATTGTGCTGAAACTAGAACTCTAAAAGCACGGTATCATTTATCATTACCCAATTAAATTGAAATTTAATCCAGCGCCCTGAATAAGAACAATAATTATTTACATAAAAAAATGCGGTGGTGGCATAACTGCACGTATACATTTCAACGAATTTCGTTTGGCTGATCGCAATGCTCAAACAAAATGAATTGATGACTAAATTTTTACTTATGTAGTCAATATAACATGTATGGATGGACCCTGACCGTTAACAGAGGTGACGGTTAATAGAGAGACGGATAGTCGAGGTTCCACTGTAATTACAATAGTAGTAAAATAAAAAGGCTGCTTAAGGTAGAGGGTAAAAATCATTGTCGATTGAAATCAACCAGATTGTCATTCACATCAGTCCACTAAATTGATCCAAATAAAATTAGAAGATACACACTTTTAGAATAAAATTAAGTTAGTAATAAATAAAAACTAATTAAAAAAATGCTTATTTTTAAAAAATCAATCATTATTTGTAACATGAGCGTACTAATTGATATTTTCGAGATATTGTAAATTTAGCTATACATATAAGAATCTTTATTGAGCTTTCGTATTATCTAAACCATTATAAAATTATACGGATGGGGTTCAAACATTTCAGTGTTATGCTCGGTCTTCAGATTGTTTCATCTTTTCCTTACTGGTTTATATATTAACATTGTATATATTCCTTATGGATCGTTTGTATTTGTTTTCGCTAGAAATATTGCCGTACTGAATTGCCAAATCTTTAGACATTATATTTTTACTTTTATATCACGTTAAGAGTTACTAAATCTTAAGGGTTTTAAAATTTATTTAAAAGATTTTAAAGTGCATGTGGGAATTGAGTCAAAATAAAGATACCTTGCGGGAAATTTGACAAATATTGGAGTGGTATCAGATTGTTAAATATTTTAAATGTTAAATATTAAGTACTAAATCGATACTAACCAAAATTATTTTTAAAACTTTTACGCTATCGATAAATAAGAATAATTATAGTTCCTTTTCATATATTGTATGTGGCTAGGAGCCAAAAACATTTGCAACTTTTCATACGTTTTCACAATATTACTTGAATTGGTCAAGGAAAAGATGGAACTAAATATTATATATATATACATACATGACGATTTTTTAAATATTTTTTGTTACTTAAAAGAAGTAAAGTTTCTTTTTTATTTGAAACGCCAAAAATATATATTTATCATTATATTAGAAAATATAGTGAAACGTTTTGTTCCTTTTTTGTACATATTTATAATTTTAGATTTGGTCGTGTAGTCGCGATCACTTAGCATAGTTTCTGTGTTCAGTCAGTGCACGATCTGAATGCATGGGAAAAGTTTTTCTTTTTTTAGTTGTTTTTCATTCTGCATTTGTTTTCTAGATGGATTTTAGTCCAAATAATATGCATTATTAGAAATTAAAAATATACACAACATACAAATTTTATGTGTTTTAATGTAACATATTTTAAATTCAATTCGTCTGCCACTTGTAATAGATCATGTTATATCCTATCAAACTGCGCCATTTTCTGAGAAATTCTGTGATTGGACATGAGATATTGTGTTTATTAGCAAAATGATTTGATTTTGTCAATTTAAGAGACTGTTATTGATAGTACAACGTGCTATATGCGAAGAAAAGTCTAAAATTGACCACACAAAATAGTGAATTACACCAATATAGTCATGTATAAAGTTCGTATGTTTATACATGCTAATAAAAATCCTTATTATTAGCATGTATAAATATTTACACCCAAAAAAATTAAAATAAAATAAATTTATTTTACAAAATGTAAATCTCCTAATGTTATATTCAACTAGCTCATATCATGCCTGGCATTGCTTCCCATAGTTCAATTCTATTTCGTGGCTTTAAGGTTTCTTTGATTTAATTTCTTTGTCAACTCTACAATTCTACTCGTGTGATCCTAAAAATTGTCATATAGGAACATGAAGTTGTTATTGGGGAATATCTGGATGGCAACGTTATGTTCTCAAGAATATGTTTGTAATATAATCCTGTTAATTTTTCTTCTATATGAGAACAAATGCTCGGGTCTTCAGCACTTGTCCATCCTCATACTGACAATCCTCCACTAT